AGGAGGAGGGAGGGTGGGGGGGGGGGGTGGGGGGGGGGGAGGGGGGGGGGGGGGGGTCTGATGAAGGGAGCAGCGAGGCTGCTGATTGGACAGACAGGAAGGTGGAAATATAAAATATGGGAAAGGGAGTCAACAGGGGGCGCTGTCAGGTCAGGTGGTGTGAGGAGCCGTCGATTCCACGTTGAAGGCAGCTTCGTTGAACAGGTGTGTGTGGTCACTGTGACTTCTCATCCGACTGAGGTGCACCCGAGCATCACCCCCCCTCCCACTGCAGTTTCCCTCCCAGACCAGCAGGGAGGGGGGCGTGCAGCTCCAGAGTGTAAGCAGCCATGAATAAAAATGGACTGTGTCGGGAAGTAGGGCTCATAATTATTCGTTTTAAATCAGTTAAAGCTTTCTCTCAAATATCCCCCAGGAGGCGCGGGGTTAAAAATCCATTTGTGGGAAGTGTAGCATGACAGCAAGCTCGTCTCCCTGGAGACGGAGCCCACGACAGCAGGGAACGTGTCTGTGTGTGTGTGTGTGTGTGTGTGTGTCAGTATGCATGCATGTTTGCAGAGCGCTCTGGTGTTTGTGAATCTGAGCGTCGGTCGCAGCATCACAAACAGACAACGGATCACCAGTGTTTAAAGGTCAGGAGCAGGGGGCGCTAACGTCTCACTCTATGTGTTCTGTAGACAGTTGGTTTGGGGGGGGGGCGGGGGGGGGGCTCCTGCGGTACCACTACAGGCCGTAACCAGACATTAAAGTGTGTACAGAAGCAGAAAGGGGGAGGGAGGGGGCTCCTGTGGTACCACTACAGGCCTTAACCAGACATTAAAGTGTGTGTGTGTGTGTGTGTGTGTACTGGTGTTGGTTCATATCGTCTCTGTGATGCTGATCATCAATATCATTAAAAAGGGTTCAAAGGTCAGAGGGCGTTCACATGGGAAAAAAACAGTTTCCTGGAACTAAAAGGTAAAATGATTAGGTTTCCAACTTTACCGTAACACCGTCCTGCCACACGTGTTCCTTCTGAAGAAGTTCAGCTTCTCTGGCCAGTTTCTAGGAGAAAACACAGAAGAAGAAAACTGAGTGTCAGAGGTCAAGGGGTCAAAGGGTCAGACAGACCAACAGATAAAAAAACACATTACTGTACTGTTAAATTAAATAACATCATTTATTATTGTTGGGTATCCTTGCTGTTAGGTGACAAACTTTCTCTTTGACACTTGTCATTTGTCAACATTTTAAAATCGGTCAAATTCACCTTCACTGTTTTTCTGTTTTCACCTGCGATAATAATGTCACAGTAAAACAGGGAGTGAAAAAAGACCACCTCCAGGTTCTCTTCTCTCAGGTCATTAAAGCCCACTGACAGCCCCTCCCTTCTCCTTTCTACGCACAAAGTATTTAGGTTCTCCCCGGGCCTCTAGGGGGTGATCTTGTTCCTGCCCTAGAACAGGGTAATCAGCCGTACAGTCCCAGGACTCCTGGAACTACTAACCCTATTTAAACCCCCGTTAGCATCACAGCTAAGTCACTAGTGGAGACCCACTGAAGCCCCCCAGTCCCACTGAAGCCCCCCCAGACCC